CTATTAATATACACTTCTTATAAATAAAGTCATACTATGCAATCAAATGTCAAACGTAGATTCCTTCAGCAATTGTCTAAATATTTATCTTACTTATCTAATTTATCCAATTTATTTTAATTTATATAACATACGTATATGGATATACTTTTGTAATTATAATATAGCTATGATAAGTATAATATAATCCGGATCTTTGATTCTAGTTGTATTAAGACAAATTAACAAATCATTGAGATTCTAACTATATAAAGACAAATTAATAGAAATTATATTTAGCTATAATAAAATCTATATCTCTGATTCTACGTATATAAATATATAAAAACAAATTAATAAGGCAATAATTCACTTAATGGGTACAAGATAAGTATAAGGTAATGTTATGCAGTCATATAAGTATAGATTTCCAAAGCAGTGAGTATATATACACCAAATATTACTTCTTAGTCACTGTTAGTAATTAGTAGTTGGTCTTGGTAGTATCTTATGTTCTGGCAATCTTTATATCAAATATCCAATTATAGTTCAAGTCCACTTCCTTTCAACTGTCAATAGTTTCAATATAATATGTCCATGTATTATCCACTTGTTCCGTAATCCTCAGTTCAAGTCCTCACCGGGATAAGCCGTGGCAGAAACAAAAATTATAAATCCAATGTATTTCACGTCCGATCGTACTTTTTCCTCCCTTTACTTTACTTTTTGTCCAATACACACTGATCGTGCGCCAAAAGTATCAAGCGTCTGCTTCCCCAAATAACACAATCCAATAGTCCCGTTGCTTTATTATCCAATTATCCAATTAACTCGATCAATAAACTTGATCCTGTTAAGGAAGCCTTTGTCTGGATTGTCCAGTAAGTATCGGCAACAATGTTATAAGTTCTAAGTTGACTGTGTTCTCCCTGCCGTTGCTCAATATGGCTTCACCGTCCTTTCTTCTATGGATATCCGGGGCTCTAAAAGTCCTCCCGTTAAGTCTTTTAAGTTTTCAGAGACCTTCGCTCTCCCAGCTTTTTGTTATGAAGCTCTGGTTATCAATCACACACTTTGTTCAACCGTATTCCCTCTGGATTCTTTCGGATTCCACTGACTACCAGATTACGCGCTGTCACTTTCAATATGGATTCCTCCCCTTCACTCCACTTATCAGTCGCCGCTTCTCTTTCTCCTCTTTTACTCAAGGGTTCCTTCCGCCCGCTTTCTCCCAACCGTTAGAAAATGCAGATATACCTTTTCAATCTTTAATCCTCACTTCTGTTTTCACCGATGCTTTTCTTTTTCAATCTTCGCTTCCCTCTTAACAGCTGTCAGCGTTTCTGGCCAGCCGGGTGGCTGGTTCTTCCTCGTTCCGAGTTAGAGGAGTTATCCTGAACCTTCGGGGGGATTGCCGCCCTCCCCGAGGTCCTCAGAAATTTCCCCTTCTTCTACCGACCTCTACGGGGTCGGTAGTGCCGAAATCAGCGCCCGCAGCGAGGATATTAGGGGCTTTGGAAACGGAGCACCGTTCCTTTTGCCCCTAACACGTTGACGTCGTCGGCGGAAGTCGAAAATATTTTCTAACAATTGTTGATAATTACTCTAGATATGAATATGTATATCCTATGAAAGAAAAATCAGAGACTTTTCAGATCTTTAAAGACTTTGCAACCCTTGTTTCTACCCAACACCAAGTTCGCATCGCCAGAATCCAGAGTCATCGTGGTGCCGAGTTCATGTCTCAGCGTTTCCAGGACTGGATGCGTAAGAATGGAATTATTCATCAGATTTCGGCCCCTTACACACTGGCTCATAATGGAGTCGCAGAACGAAGACAAGGGGTACTGCAAACCATGATGCCTTGTCTCCTAGAAGACGCCAACCTTGGTAAGATATACTGGGGTGAAGCTATCAAGTAAGCAAATTACATTGTCAACCGTACTTGGAGCAGTGTAACAAATCAGACTCCTTTCTTCATGTTGTATGGCTACAACCCCGATCTTAAAAACATTCATATTTTTGGTTCATACGCTATGGTGAACATTCCCTTAGCTCAAAGAAGAAAAGGAGGTCCAGCAGCAAAAAGACTGAGATGTATGGGTATTGATGATAACTCAAAATGGAGCAAATTTATTGACTCTAAACATGTAATTATGATTTCCCAATCTGCTAATTTTGAGGAAGATGTTGACTGGTCCAGGATTAATTCCAATGATCCTGGAGTTTATTTTCCTAGAGATGATACTGCTGATGCCACGCAGATTGATGATCAAGATTCCACTGGTTCTTCTCAACCCGATGTTCCGTCTTCGCAAGCCGCGGATGCTGACACTAGCGACGAATGTGAGGACGAGGATGAAGCAGAAGAAGACTGGACTGGTGTTCTGAGACGTTCCAAGAGGGCCACAAAAGGAATCCCTCCACAATGATATTCTTGGCAACTGACAAAAGCACCCTTGCCTTTGATTTGCAATGTTACACTTCCACCTGATAATTTCACACAAATCAAGCAGCTTCCTGATTCAGAGCAAGACAAATGTTATGAAGCAATGCAGATTGAAATGGACAGTCTAAAGAAACTCAAAGTGTTTACACCTGCAAAACCTCCAGCAAACAAAAAGATCATTGGCACTCGATGGGTCTACAGAATCAAAAAGAAACCAAATGGTGAGTCATTGTACAAGGCCAGACTTGTAGCTCAGGGTTTCGCTCAACGTTATCCTGAGGACTACACAAATACTTACTCACCGACAGTTCAAACTGAGAGTGTAAAAATTGCTTTAGCAACTGCAACTATCCTTGGTTTAGAAGTTTTCCAGTTCAATGTTGACACGGCTTATCTACATGCAGACCTAGATGAAGAGATCTACGTGAAAGGTCCTCCAGGATTCCAACAGCAAGAAGGGGATACCTGGTTTCTAAACAAAAGTCTTTATGGTCTGAAACAGTCTGGTTTAATGTGGTACTTATGTCTTACTGACAAACTAAATTCAATGGGCTTTATTAAGTCCGAAACTGATGAGTGCATGTTCACAAAAAGATCTAACAATGCATATGAGATAGTTCTTGTTTATGTTGATGATATTGTTTATATTGGTCCAAATAAGCAAATGAGTGAAATTTTTGCCAAAGCTTTGCAGAGATACTTCAAATTGAAATCATTGGGTCACATTAGCACTTATTTAGATGTTCAGATTGAAAAAACACAGAAGGGGTTTAGTCTTTCACAAGAAGATAAAATTGAACAAATTTTGCATCATTGTAACATGAAAGATGCTAACACAACAAAGACACCCATGCAAACAGATTTTCACAACTTGACACAAGAAGCAAGTCCTGAGTTCGAGGATCAAACACTTTATCGTTCAGTCATTGGGTCACTATTGTACATTAGTAGTTGGACCAGACCCGACATTGCACTTAGTGTTAATCTCTTATCTCGACACGTAGGTAAGGCAAAACAGTTTCATTGGACAGGTATTAAGAAATTATTGAGATACCTAAAATACACCAAACACATGAAATTATTGTTAGAACCAACACATACTGATTATGCAGAACTAAGTTGTTATGCAGATTCTGATTGGGCAAGTGATAAGAAATCACGTAAAAGTACTTCAGGTTATATGATGTTCTTAAATGGATGTCCTGTTTATTGGCAAGTACGCAAACAGAATTTTGTTTCTTGTTCATCTACTGAAGCTGAATATGCTTGTGTTTCAGATGCATGTAATTCTCTAACTTGGTTTGATGCTTTAGTCACAGATATCTGGACACACCTGATCCGACCAATCACCGTGATGGAAGACAATGAATCGGTGGTTTATATTTCTGAATCTCATTTTACAGGTTCTAGGTCCAGACACATTGATATCCGTTATCAAAACATAAAACATTTAGTGAAAAAAGGTTTTGTTAAAATGCAATATGTATCTACACATGATCAAATTGCTGATATGCTCAACAAACCACTTCCAGCAGCTCAACCTGAGTATCTGCGCAAGAAGATGTGCCTTATTTGATGATGTACTGATATTCACTCAACTGGCAAAAGAAGGGGAATGTCACTGTGTTATTTTATTTACCAGCTGAGCTTCATATTTCTGGACTATCAGACTTTCCGTACCTTGCCAAGAATTGTTATCAGAAGCTACTACGCATGTGCATCCACCCACATTCTTTCACTTGCTTCACACACTCTTTTCCTTTGTTCTCTTGCCAGCAAGGTCTGGCTGAGAAATAGCCGGCAAGAATTATTTCAAAAATGTAGCAATTACTTTTCTTAGTTAGTGAGGTGTTTTATTTTCTTTATAACAAATAAATGAGTTTTATTAGAAACTTTTCTTCGCGTTTCTTTTTCAGAATATTGCAACAAGGAATAAGCCTCGATCCATTCTCTAAAGCAGGGTGATTTTTCCCAGAGCCAAACATGGGATTAATCAACGCCCTGACATATACAAAGTCAGTTTATTGCCCCCACAAACTGGGTCCTCAATTTATCTACCTTAGAAAGGATGGAAGGCTGAGTCAACCTTGAGCCTGGTGAGATTCGAACTTACAGTAATTGCAGACAGCTGGTGTTAATCACAATGCTATTAGTCTGCTGAGCCACCAGGCCCCTTGATTAATTTGATTAATTGTATAAGATAAGATATGGCCAATACTCTGTTCAAAAAAGATGTGGGTAAATGTTGGGGGGGGGCAATAAAACTTGTTTTTTTAAAAAAAGAGGAATTATTGAGTCCATCAGCTGCACCCTTATAACTGTCTGGTTTGGCACTGCAACCAATCAAGACAAACACAGACTTCAATGGATAATTAGAACTGCAGAAAAAACTATTGCTACCAATCTGCCTTCCATTGAGGACCTACATACTGCATGGGCCATTAAGAAGGTTGTGAAAGTATCTACATCCTGGACATAAGCTGTTTCAACTTCTACCCTCAAAATGACGCTATAGAGCACTGCACACCAGAATGGACGTTGGACTTACCTGATACGTCTGTTCTCTCTTAGTAAGGAACGTCTGTCAGACTGGGTATGGACTCCACTATGCAGCATATGACCGAGTCTGCGGATTTAAATAACTCCGCCCTCTACTGGTTGAGCCCCAGTGTTTCGGCGAGGGCGCTGATGCAGACTGGAGTGTCGTCCTGGAAAATACAAAGAGAGAGGTAAAAGAACACCACCCACCCCACCGGGAACAGGGCACGCCAGAAGGGTGGGGCTGACAGACATTCCTTACTAAGAGAGAACGGACGTATCAGGTAAGTCCAACGTCCATTCTCCTCAGCGTAAGGAACGTCTGTCAGACTGGGGACATACCAAAGCTGAATGTCCACTGGGAGGGAAGAGAAAGGGCCCTGTTACCTCAAGCCGAGTGAATAGGACTCTCCGCCCGAAGGCCGCCTCAGCAGATGCAAACGAGTCCACACGATAGTGGCGGATAAAGGGGGAGATGCTCGTCCAAGCGGCTGCTCTGCAAACTTCCTCCAACATAGCCTGGGTTGCCCATGCAGCAGAGGTCGCCGCACTCCTGGTGGAGTGGGCCATGATGTGGTGAGGTACCGGCAATGATTGTCTCTGGTAGACCGTAGAGATTGTAGCACGGATCCAACGCCCCAACATAGGTGCCTAAGCTTTGGCTCCGATAGACGTGGGTTGGTAAGAGACAAATAAAGCCTCTGTCTTCCGAAAGGAGGATGTACGCCTCAGGTATATTTTGAGGGCACGTCGCACGTCAAGCGTATGCCAAGATCGTTCCAAGTGGTGCTGAGGGGAAGGGCAGAAGTTGGGTAGGACCAACTCCTGCGCGCGATGAAAAGGAGAATTGATTTTAGGTATGAACGCTGGGTCTAGCCGGAGGACTACCCTGTTGTGGTGAAAAATGCAGAGGTCCCTTCGAGATGACAGAGCCGCCAGCTCCGAAATGCGGCGAGCTGATGTGTTTGCGACCAAGAAGGAGACCTTGAAGGACAAGAAATGGAGCGAGACGTGTCGAAGAGGCTCGAAGGAGGAGGTTGTAAGAGCTGAGAGGACCTTGTTCAAGTCCCAAGTAGGGAAGCGATGAACAGGTGGAGGTCTTAAATTTGCAGCTCCCCGCAGAAATTGTTGGATGACGGGATGTCGAGAAATCGAAGATGATGAACCGCAAGTCAAAACTGTAGAGATGGCGGCAGCTTGCCTCCGGAGGGTGTTTGGAGATAGTCCGGCGTCAAAACCCTCCAGGAGAAAGCGTAAAACCTCCAGAATTGAAGCCGAAAGGGGGTGGATGCGAGCGTGCTGACACCAAGCGGCAAAAGAGGTCCAGGTAGAGTTGTAGATTCTATTAGTAGAAGGCCTGCGGGAAGCCAGGATGACGTCTATCACGGAAGAGGGGACCTTGGCCTCTCGTAGGAGGAACCACTCAGCCTCCACGCGGTTAAGTGGTACCATGTCGGATCCGGATGGCGAAGGGAACCCTGCACGAGGAGAATCTGGTCGTCCGGAATGGTCCATGGTCGAGCGACAGATAGGGAGATCAAGTCTGAGTACCAGTGTCTCCGGGGCCAGCGGGGCGCAAGAACAATGATCTCCGCCCGTTTCTGAAGAACTTTCCTGAGCACCCTGGAAATCAACGGGAAGGGGGGGAAGGCATATAAAAGACCGGAAGGCCAAGGGCTGCGGAGGGCGTCTGTGGCTTCGGCCCCGTAATCCCTGTACCTAGAGAAGTACCTCGGGACTTGATGGTTGGCCTGCGATGCGAAGAGGTCCACTTCGGGAGACCCAAAGCGCCTCGTGATCTCCCTGAAGAGAGAAGGGGAAAGGCTCCATTCCGCGTTGTCCAGGCGACGTCTGCTCAGGGCATCTGCTTGAGAATTCTCCTCCCCTGAGATATGATCTGCGCGAAGGGAGTGAAGGTGAGATTCAGCCCAGAGGCCGAGTAGCAGGGTCTCGTCCATGAGAGCCCGAGAATGAGTGCCTCCCAGTCTATTAACGTGAGCCTTCGCCGTAATGTTGTCCGTAAGGACAAGGACGTCACGAGAAACGATAAGGTCCCGAAAGTGAAGCAAGGCTAGACGAATGGCTCTTAGTTCTAGGAGGTTAATGGGAAGAAGCTGCTCGGATGAGGACCACTGACCTTGCGCCAGGTGATGTTACAGGTGAGCCCCCCAGCCCTGGAGGCTTGCGTCCGTGGTGACTATTATGCGCAGAAGCTCCTGACAAGGCCAAGGACGTCCACCACCGGAGGGAGGAGATGACGGACGGGGCTAGAGGTACTCTGAGGAGAGAAGTACTAGATCGATTCCGTTGATGAGGGAGCAGGAACCATTGTAACTCCCTACTGTGGAGACGGGCCCATGGCACTATATCGTATGTAGAGACCATCTTGCCCAGAAGGCAAGACAGACTAAGGAGAGAAGATGATCGGTCCGCAATACAGCGGAGGGCAAGGGAGCATAAGCTGTCTTGGCGTTCCGAGGAGAGGGAAACTGTAGACCTTACTGAATCAATGATAGCCCCTAAATGTTGGATAGAGGTGGCTGGGACCAGATGACTCTTGGCCCAGTTAATGGAGAACCCGTGAGATTGGAGAATTTGGATGGAAGTAGCCAAATCGGTTTGGGCCTCCTCGAATGATGAGGATTGTAGTAGAATATCATCAAGGTAAAATTGGATTCTGATGGGGAAGGAACGAATGTGTGCCACCAGAGCCGCCATGATCTTAGTAAAGACGCGGGGGGTGGAGGAAAGGCCGAAGGGGAGAGCCGAATATTGGTAATGTCGCCCCCGGTAGTGAAAACGGAGATATTTACGGAATTCCGGGTGTATGGGGACGTGGAGGTACGCCTCCGTTAAGTCTATGGAAGACAAGAAGTCCCCAGGGTGAATGGTTTCCAAAATAGTATGGAGAGTGTGCATCTTAAACCTGTGATACACAAGGTAACAGTTAAGAGCCTTCAAATCTAAGATGGCCCTCCACCCCCCAGAAGCCTTGCGAACAATGAATAAACGGGAATAAAACCCAAGGCCATGCTGGTCGGGTGGTACTGGTTGAATGGCCTTGATGACAATCAAGTGGGAGAAAGCCTGAGAAACGAGGGATCTCTGAACCCTGTCCCTGGAAACAGGGCAAGAGAGAAAAACAGGGGGAGGAAGGGAGGAGAACTCAAGAGAGAGACCTAATTGAACAGTACGTAAAACCCAAGAGTCAGAAGTTGAAGAAGCCCACTGAGCGGAGAAAAAAGTTAAGCGGCCGCCAATGGGTGTCTCCGAGTTACCCTCACTTGGACCATCGGAACGATCTTCCCCTGCCTCCTCGAAAGGAACGCTTCTGGAAGGGCCTATTGCCCTGTCTAACCTGTGGGTCCTGGTGAGTCTGGGACTGAAAGGAGCGTTGAAAACGAGGCTGGTATGAGCCGGAGTCTTGAGGTCGACATGACTGAGACCGGTTGTAAGGAGAAAAATGAGAAATGGAACGACGGGAAACAGACAGCAGGATCTTGCGGTGGTCTCTAGTTTCCACCAGAAGTGGCTCCAGGGGTGGACCGAAGAGAGAAGAGGAGGAGTAGGGTGAGGAAGCTAGCTGCCACTTGCTCTTGGCGTCCGCCTGCCAATGGCGGAGCCACAAAAGTCGATGTGACGTGACCGTGGAGCCGATGGATTTGGCTGAGAACCGTGCTGAGTTCAGCGTGGCATCTGCGGAGTACTCCAAGGCGGCGACGATCTTGTTCAAATCCTGGTGCGTACGAGTGTCAGACGGAGGTAGCCTGTCTTGTAACTGTTTCAACCAGAGCAGGGAGGCTCGGTTAAAAAAGGAAGCAGAGGTGGCAGTTTTGACTGCCCACGCCACGGATTGATGCACCTTGATGAGGGTCTTCTCAGCTTGCTTGTCTTCGGGTCGCAGAGATTCCTCAGGAGAGCTGGGAAGTCTGGAAGGAGAAGCCAAGGCCGCAATGGGGCCGTCCACGGGAGGTACCTGCAGAAGGTCAGAAAGAGCAGGAGCAGTTTGGTATAATCATTTATCCAAGCCATTAGGTGCCGGGGCTGAACCAGGCAAAGTCCATTGACGTTGGACAATGTCGGTGAAAAGTTTGGGGGCTGGAATGAGCTCTGGTTCAACTGCTGGTTCAGCAAACAAGGATGAAGCTGGATCGGAGGAATCCTGTGGTGCTGAGCCCGAGGCGTTAGGGGACCCCAGTCTAGTAACCGCTAAGGCCTTGAACAATAAGGAACGGAATAATTGGGGCCTGAAAAGGCCAACGAAAGCGGGCTGGTCTGGAGTGAGGCCCTCGTCGTCCGAAAGGGTCAGCTCCCTAGATTCTTCTTCCTCCGAAAGAGAACCCTGGTCAGAGCGCTCAGGAGAAGGCAAACGATCCTCGTGGTCCCCAGAGTGGACCAGGCGAGATTGGACTCTGGCAATGAGAGTAGGGGCCGGAAAGAGACCCTGTTGCAACCCCTGAGAAAGGCTCTGTTGGATGGCTCTGGCTATGACGGCTTCCAAGGTAGCATGGGGGTCTGGTTGTGAAACTTCCCCTGCGAAGGCCTGAGAGGTTCCAGATCCGCAGGGTGGGCAAGAGGGCCCCGGGTCACTGTCCCTTATCTGTGCTGGGGCATCAGAGGGGTCCGGGAGGGTCTGAAAAACCTGCTCTGCCTCCGATGACGTAGGGCCCCGAGACGAAGGACGATCAGGGGAAAGCTCCCGATCGGAACAGGCTATAGCAGGTTGATGTGAAGGAAAAGAGGGCCTGGGCGGTAAAATGGCAGAGATGCTAGACAAAATGGCGGCGGGCTGTTGTTGAGCCCTGAAAGCCGCCTTCTCTAAAGCCCTGTGCCGCCTCAGTTCCTCCCTGGTAGGTTTAATGGCTTGGCCAGAGGAGGATGTCGATCCCTTGGAAGGGGCTTTGCCTGAGCGGCCCTGTTTGCTGGTTCCCTCCCCCGGGTTGCTAGCATGACGATGTCGGGGCCGGGAGGCTGTGGAGCGAGAACGAGGCTGATTAGAGGCGTCCGCCATTTTAACAGGGGCCGTTACGGCTGCCGGGGAGCCCTGACCGAAGCGATGCTCTCAAACTTAGCTGTTGCCGAAGCTCCGCCGAGATGAGGGCAGCTGATGAGTTGGAGGCAGTTCCGCTGGTGAGAGGAGCCGAAGGAGCCGTCTGCACGTCATCGCCGAGCCGCTAGCCAAGGGCAGTCAAAGCGGCCAGAAAAATATGGCGCCGTTTGAAAAGCCCGCCAAGAGAACGGCGCCAACAAAGCTGCTAGGTAAATGCCGTTAAAATGCAGCTGTCTGTCTCCCGGTGGAAAGGGGAGATGGAGGGGGAGACTTTGAGCTCTCACCCCTCAGGGGGTCTGTTGGCAGGCAGCCCCCGCCGCAAAAGCGGCTGCCGGCAGTCTCGAGTAAGGACCCTTCGGGCCACTGATACAAGGAAAAAAAAAATTAAAACGTCCAATTTGAAGAATTGCCGAATTTGAGATGAAAAGAGTTGAAAAAATAGTGAAAAATAGCGATAAACGCCACAAACAGACTGGATCCAGGAAGACACGACTGTCCAGTTTAGGACCGAGTTGAAACACTGGGGCTCAACCAGTAGAGGGCGGAGTTATTTAAATCCGCAGACTCGGTCATATGCTGCATAGTGGAGTCCATACCCAATCTGACAGACATTCCTTACGCTGAGGAGAACTACACACAAGGTCAGTTTTCCTCCCATGCCATCACTCTGCTAAACAACTAATTCCCACAATACTGTCAAACTATCTAAAAAGACAGTATTACCATCATTAGTCTCATCTTCCCTATTACCTATCTCCTTATCTTCTTAGACTATAACTTTGTTGCTTGCATCTTACCATTTTATTGTTTACTTAGTATCCTAGTATGATTTATGTTGATTGCTTATTTAGTATACATGACTAACACTGTTGTATCTAATGTTTTATGATGAATATATTTTTACAATGACTATGATAATGTTCTATCACTATTGTATGTACACTGAGAGCTTATGCACCGGAGACAAATTCCTTGTGTGTCTAATCACACTTGGCCAATAAAGAATTATAATTACTCAATTCAGTAACATTGCAGTTTTCATAAAAGGTTTTCTTCAAGTTGAGCTTACCTCTGGTTGCTTAGTAATTCTAGGCAAATTGGTTTACCTTCTCCCAGAATGTTTAATTTATTCATTTATTAGTTTAGTCTACAGACCCAGTATTTCTGGTTGTGGTTCTTCTTCATACTAATCAGGACAGATCCTCCTTTGCTAAGGTGGAGAATAAAAATTCTAATAAGAAACTCATTTGTTCTTTTTTTCCTTAAATTTAGGATTTTGGAATGACAATGAAAAAAATGGATAATTTGGCAATCTAATAAAATGGACACTCACTTTAATCAAGCTAAGGAAGTAATTCACAGAGAAGTTTCAGATGTTAAAATTTACTCAACAAGCACCACCTAGTGGTAAGATCCTTAATATAATATGTATACTTTAGTCTGGGTGTCGGCAACTGGGGCTCTAGAGCCGCTTGCAGCTCTTTGTGCCCTCTGCTGCGGCTCCCTGTCTCATCACTGGCTGTCCCCGCCCCTTGCCCAGTCACTCCTCACCTGGCCTGAAAAGGTAAGGGTGACATCAGTGGGTGGAGAAGCGGTCGGGACTGATTCTCCGGTGCCTCACTCTTGCTGAAGCTTCTTCTGGCCCTCGTTGGTGCTGGACGTGCCTTGGTCACTTGGGGAGACGTGTAACCTGCTCTCTGCCCCAAGACACTGGCCTGACCTGGCCACGATCGACACCGGCCTTGCTAACATGAGGGCTGGAGGGGTGGGAATAGGATCAGGAAGGATGGGACAGAAAGGGGGACGGGCCCACAGAGCCCAGCCGCAGCTTTAAGAAGCTCAGGGCAGCGGGAAAAGGGGGATGGCCCCACTGAACCTCACCTACCCACCCCGGGGATCAGGAAATTCAAGGCTGGGCCAAGCCGGGGAGCTCTCCGTGGGGCTCTTCACTATTTCTTTTCTTTCTTCTTTTTGGAAATCTAGGCTGGCTGAGGAACGAGCATGAACCGCAGTGGAGGCTTCCCTTCGGGCGACCCTCCTTCTCTTGCAACCCCCTGGCCAGCTGTGGGACTGGGAGTGTGCACAAGAGCGGGGAGCTCCTCCTCAAGCAAGCAGGCAGGCTCGGCCAAAGCGCAGCAAAGGCTAGCGGCTGCTAGCTTGAGGATCTTCCTGCTCATGTGCACACTCCTGGCCCCGCCACAGCCGGCCAGGAGGTCACGAGAGGAGGGTTGCCCGAAGGGAAGCTTCTGCTGCGGTTCGCGCTTGTTCCTCAGCCAGCCCAGATTTCCAAAATGAAGAAAGAAACGGAGTAGCAAAGAGCCCCAATGAGAGCTTGCTGGGCTTTCTGAGAGAGTGAGAAGAGACACAGACACAAAGAGAGATATAGAGGTACACAGAGAGAGAGAGATACAGAGAGAGGGGAAAAGAGAGGGGACGTTGGTCCTACCTGAGACGCTCCTTCTTGTTGGGTGGAGACAGCAGCCAGGCTTGGGATGCATTCATCCGTTCAGATTGGTGGACTGAGTCTGTCAAAGTTGCTTAGTCCCGCCCTTGTTGTTATGGAGTTCCAGCTTTGGCGAAGATGGAAAACAGACTCGTCGTGTGGGCGAAAGGAAAAGTCAGCGACAGAGAAATCCCTCCCCCAGACTGAAAGAGGGTGGG